GCGTATAGTACGAATCCCCTTTTTCCAAGAGGACTACTGGCTTAGCTAAAATACCATAAAGCTTTCGTTTAAGACGAGTCTTTGTATAAACTTTACAGGTGAGAAAGATTTGCTGTTTGGTAACTACGAATTGAAATTGCTCACCTATCACATCCAATGTGAAGTTCAGCATTTCTATTTTGTCGTGATTAGTAGCTTGAATGGAATACACCCCCATGTCATTAACGTCCAAACGATTAATTCTTAGAATGGTCGAAGTATACGTTGTATTAATCGCGTACTTTGCTTTCTCAGGTATCATCCAATTCCCGACAATTTCCTCTCCCTTCGGATTCAACCTGTAACATATTATCAAACTTGTTACGAAGTCTTTTGCTTTGGGTAAATAACACAGATTAAAATATAGAAATTACCATTTTAAATGCGCTGGAGGATAGGCATTCACATCCACGACCCATTGTACTTTATCGTTGTACCGACGCTCGTAATGCCTGTTAGCATCCTGCGTCGTTAAATTAATGAACTTGTTGCCTGGATCTGAAAGTTCATGTTGAAAATAACAGTGCAGAGGAACGCTATACTAAATCTCCAATCGAACTAACCATGCACCTCGATGTACTTTGACTTATTCTTAAAATCGTTGAAAGTTTTAATAAAGCAATTGTAGTAGCCTTGGTCTTCGTCCGTCACGTTTCTGACCACCAATTCGGTGGTGACTCTGTAAACGCTAGGAGCATACTTCGAGTTGTAGAGGCGAGTGGTGATCCTGCTGCTCTGAAATTGCGAGTTACATTGTTATTGTTTGTTGAGATTGCAGGCAATGGAGAAGAATGAGGAAATATAAATGCATTGGTACTTGTTGCGGTGTACTCCAATTGAAAACATACTGCATGTCCTCGTCGACGTCGATAGTGCAATTCACGTACAAAGTTTGTCCTCGCGTTACGTGCCTTAAAGTGTCTTCCAGGATTTTTGGCTCGTTTAACGTCTGTTTGCCTAAAATTTGAACAGTATTGAACGGTAAAATCCAATGCTTTCTACCCTTTGGCAATAATAAGTGCGAGTAGAAGGCAGAAGTTTTAAAAGCCTCGTGGCAGCATAGAGAGAGAGAAACGTGCTCTGTTAGGCATACTTACGAAGGACGTGTAAATGATAATTGACCTCATGATCTGTACCGTCCCGCTCTATCGTGCATTTGAAGTAGCCACTGTCCGTGAGTATAACGCGCCTCAGCGAGAATCCGATTCTTGGATCGAAAGATAGCCGACTAGATTCGACATCCTGTTCAAACATCTCTCATTTATTAAACATTATCGTTTATTCACATATAAGTAAAAATACATTCTTCAAAACATTTGTCATTTTTTCTTTTGTTTCGTCAGTCGTGTGCCGCCAAAATAATGCCGACCAGCTAATTCTTACATTATATCGTTATGCTTCATCAAGCACGATTAAGACAACGTTGTTTGTCGTGCCACGCTCGACGACGCGTAACCCAATAAATCAAATTTACCATTTCATCCTTCAGAAGATTCACTGTCAGGTTTGGCGACGTTGGTCTGCACGGTATGACGGCAGTTCCACCGATAACTTCTCGCAACGAGAACAGGGTATCAGCTTGCACGAATAAGCTCGTGTTTGCTGAAACAGAACAATGAGCGCAAGTATTAAATTGAACCGCGTGCTGATTTACTGAATGCTCTGTGGTCATGATTTAATCACAGTAAGCTGTAACTACTCCTTGAGCTATGCGTTAATTACTATCGTTGACAAAGTATATATATATACTGGCAATCTATATCAAGTATACAAGTGTAGCTACAGCTATATATATACATGTTGGAATTGAGTATCTTTCTCCTTTTTCTAAAT